TTGTAATGTTCTTTATGCTCGGAAAATTTCAGAACATTACACATGATCTATGGAAAGTTATGGGGGGTCCGTTACTTCTGACGAGCACTGTATATTTCTATCAGTAATTATTTGAAAGACATGAACTTCGATACTTTTGGAGGTACTGTATATTTCCGCGAATACATCTATGTATCTCCCACCCGGTTTGGGGATGCGTAAATTTTTGATCAGTCCGGAAAACAAATCCGAAGCGCGAACGAAAAACGGATGCTAAAAATGTTGGGAAGACCAATAGCATTGCGTATTTTTATTTTTGTGTCGGTTTGTTTTGTTGGATTGATCAAAAATTTATGCATTTTTATTGGCTGTTCCATCATAACCAAATCGGGTGGGGTTACATAGATGCCCTCATATTTCCGCTCTTACTAATTTTAATTTAATTTAAAATACCAAATTTTTAAACCCTGAACATGCATCATTTTGTCATCATCATGTGTCAGAATATATGGGGACTTGAATGGCCGAACATAATAATTATTTAACCCTTTCACTATTCCATTGATCACCAAACTTCTCTGATATTTATTTAAAGCTTCAGATTTACACTTTAAAATAGACACAATCTTGTAAACACAATCTTATAATCAAACATGGAATCAGAACCAACTAAGGTTCTGTTTTCTCGTTTAAATGCTTTCTACCCATTAATAATTGGTGGGGTAATAATAGGAAGTCGTTTCCACCCAACATCACAATTCATAGTACGCGCACTTCTTAGTTTAGTTTGCATTCTATTTTTTTCAGCTTACGGAAGTATTCTCGCGGTGATTTTCACACTTATAGGTCGTCGAGGGGAAATAAATTGGGCCACGGCACGTTCGTATGTAGCAATAGCAGCCCCATTGGCTGGAATCACATTCAAAGTAGAAAATGAACATTACATGGACAATCGTCCCGTCATTTTTGTCTGTAATCATCAGGCGGCCATAGATGTTATGGTACTTGGGAGAATTTTTCCGAAATCTTGTGTAATTGTTGGAAAAAGAGAACTGAAATACGTACCGTTATTGGGTTCGTATATGCATTTGACTGGCGCGATCTTTCTTGATCGAGGGAATCATGGCGACGCTGTGAGAACATTCTCGGATGCAGTAGAAGATATCAGAAAACGAAATGTCAGTGTATGGATCTTTCCCGAGGGTACGCGTGGACATTTACAAGAAGCAAATCTTTTGCCATTTAAAAAAGGCGCTTTTCATTTAGCCGTGCAAGCGCAGATTCCTATCGTTCCGGTTGTGGTCTCAAATTATAGTGACATATATGATTCAAAACGGAGAATATTCAAAGGTGGAGAATTGAAAATTAAAGTTTTACCCCCAATTCCTACAGATGGTCTTGATCAAGAGAACCGGAAACATATTGATGAACTCGCAACTAAAACGCGACAAGTTATGTTGGACACCTTGAGAAAAATTACATCACCACCACTTGGAAATGGTCATACTAATCAAACATAACCTTTTATCAAATCTACAATATAATAAATTCTAAATACAAATAACTTTTCATTGTATTGTTGTATTAATACCTACAATAATAATAATAATAATAATAATAATAATAATAATAATAATAATAATAATAATAATAATAATAATAATAGCAATAAAAAAAAATAATAATAATAATATTAATAATAATAATAATAAAAAATAGAATAAGTATTACGACAATTAAATCATATAAAATTCAATAAATTCAAATACTTACATATCCTGATAAAACTTCCCATGGATATGCCAGTTGCTGTATTTTCCCGTGTCGTAACGGTATTTTTACTTGATTCATTATTCCAGGTACTATGTTGTTGACTCGATTATTTATGTTTTCGAATGAATTCTATCGTGTAATTATCGTTGACTCTATTTAACTTTAACGTTTTTACTTTTAAAATAATTCTCGTCTCCCTATTACTACTATTGCTGTTGCTGCCAGGTTCTTTTTCTTGTTCTGCCAATAATATTTTGTTATTCAATCTATTGTCGTAATAACTATTGTAATAACTATTGTCGTAATAACCAATAATTATTATCGAAATAATTATTATTGTAACAACAAAAGTCTTGAATATAAAAATTCGGAAAGATAACAATTTCAATTCAACGTGTATTTATTTCTATCGTTCGTTGTTTGTTATTTACAATTAAATATTATTAAGATTTAAACACACAATAAGCAGCAGCGTGCCACTATTTAATACATTTCGTGTATTACCCTTATGTTATGTGAGAGCAGCAACAGACCCTGGATAAGCTATATGCCATCAGCGAATAAATATAGAAATTCTAGTATAACCGATACCTCGTGCGTCAACTATCGATCATTAATGATGCATAAATACGTTACTTCAACGTCTACAATATTTTGTTAAAAGCCTTATAAATAATTACGTAAGAAAGATCGTCAAAAAGAAGTTCGGCAGTGTTAAACTTTATATAAACAAATAACGATAATGATAAACAAATATATGCCAAGGACTTTGTCTGTTTAATGGTGATAATAATACTTTCCCCGGATTAAACAATACAATCATGTATATCGTTATTACTAAATGCGTTTTTCTTTACATGCATGAATAATGAGAGTATGGTGTGATTGGCGCGTGGAAATGTGTATATACGTTATTTATATTATTTATAGGAGTATGGAAAAAGAACTGATTCTGGAAAAATAAAGCCGAATCGGTTAATTCGACCATTTACTGTTCCTTTTGGAATTTCGGATCTCACCGTCATTCACGATGTACAGATTTCGAATAACGAGAAAAGATAAATCTAATGAACTGAATTCAAAAATGTCTCGATATAACGTGAATTTTATCGTTATGTTTGGAGACTTTATGCAATAGAAGTTACACGGAATGATCACCACTTGATAGAATTAAAAGATTCAATTACATAATGGAATCTTTATCTTTCAAAATCCTTTTCACCAAAAATCCGTTATTAAATACAATAAACCATTTCTGCAACAGAAGTTTGGTTAAATCATGTGCTATACTCCAACGAATATAATTATTTAATGTAATAGATAAATATTAATTTAACTTATTTACATCATTAAAACTTTCCAAAATATAATTATAATGGGATTTGATAAAATAAAAACTAATTTTATTATGAAAATAATAGATTTTATAAAATGTAATTTAAAAAAGATTATAATTATATTTTTTAAAATATTATTTAAATCATTGTTTATTGTTAAATAATTATAAATGAAATACTTTTTATAATCACATTTTTTATTTTGTTTTGTCAAAAAAAAAAATGAAACCAATTTATATAATAAAAACCTATCTTTATAATAATATTATTTTAAAAAATAGGTTTGGTTGAATTAGAAAGAATCAAGTTCAATTATTTATATTAGATTGCTTTATTTTGTTTCAAGATAACAATGCACCTGTTTATAATCAAGAACACAAAGGATGAATTTAACCACCTGATTGAACATTTATAATCAGAATTAGAATATCCAATTTGAAAATATCGAAATTGGAAGCTGCTTTCAGGAGAATAGAATGAATTTGAAGATATATTGCTAACAAAGGATATTTTAACCAAATATTGAGTTACTGCGTAGCTTTGTCTATAGACTGTAAATAGTGTAATGGTTCAAAGATGAAAGTCTCAGTTTGTTATTATTAAATTATAATTAAAATTTATACGTGTGTATCTATGCTTTATTAGCAGAGTCATCAACTGTCTGAGCACTTCGTTTAGTCATGAAAATAGTGGCAACTAAAATTACCAGCACCAGAAAAGCGACACTTGAAGCCGCGATAATTGGTCCAATACGTGGTACATGCTCTTCCTGCGAAGATATTTGACTTTCTGTCGCTTGAGTTGTTATAGCATTTTCGGATGATGTTATTGTTGTTGATATTGATGCAGTATTGGCAGATGATATTGTTGCAGTATTGGCAGACGATATTGTTGCAATTGTTGTAGATGGTTTATTTTTTGCTGATACTGTTGTTTTTGCTGTGGATGGGTTACTTTTTCCTGTTGTTGTTGTTGTTGCTGCTGCTGTTACTGTTGGTGTTGATGGTATTGACGATAGTACTGACAATGTGTTTCCATTGTTATTAATATCTCTATCTGCTGCTGCTACTATAAAACATTCCGAAAGAACTGTAATATAAAAAAAATGGATTAAAAAAATTATAAGTGATTATTCGATTGAATATTTTTCTCCACTTACTTGAAAGAATAATCGCTAATGAAATCCAAAGGATCAACCTTAAAGTTTTTTGTAGCGACATTTCTGATCGATTGAATATATAGACTTTACAAGTTTTTTCTATTATTCTATTGCGACAATAGATACTTATTTCTTGGTGAGAAAGAGAGAAGAAAAAATGAAGTCTACTTCTACTAATACTAGTAATAATAAAAATAAGTTGTACACACATACATATATACAAAGCAAAAAATTATATTATAAAAGGAAGAAAAAAATTAAGGGAAGAAAAGAATACATAAAAATTAAGTCAACCAATATATGGAGCTTATATGAATGCTAGGCTAACCAGCCAGCCTAAAATTATCCTAAAGGTAAAAGAAATTTTAAAATGAAGGATGATGCTTCCATTCTCTGAAATTAAGAAATGGCCATATGTAAGTAAACGCGAGGCGGGCATATTGTTAATGCTATATATATGCAATAATTGTCGGGTATGACATCATGTAATCTTCAAAAACAATATTTATATCCAAAAAAGACAATCAAGAGAAAATTATTATTCAAATTCTGTGTATTTATTTATCGTTATATATTTTACAGAGTATTACATGTATATTCCAACAATCAATTCTCTTCTTGAAATGTAAATCAACAGATAACATAAGCGATCGATTTGCAATTGAAGCATAAAATTAGCATTAAAGAGAAACTAAATTTATTGGACATACTTCTTTGTCTTGTGTTCCTGACCAAATCATTGATGAGACGGTGTTTTGGATTTGCAAAAGCAAGTTTCAACTTGAAACTAATAAATTTTTGAAGCGTAACTTGAAACTATGTAACCAATTTTTGAAGTATAACTTGAAACTAACCAATTTTTGAACAATGAACAATGATAATTATGTTTTCACGCGCAGCAAAATCTATTACACAGTCAACCCCCGTTAAACCGATTGTGTATAAAAATAGCTTTCATCAAAATCAAGTTACGAACTCGCTTTAGGATAATAGAAATGGAATTAAATCTTATATGATGCAAACAGTCAGAAGACATCCAATATATCCAATACTTTAAAGGATTTGCATATATAACGTATTTTTCTTGTGATCTAAGTGTTTGGATGCAAATCCTTTAAAGTATTGGATATATTGGATGTCTTCTGACCGTTTGCATCATATAGAACGAGACAATAACCAAATTCATTTACTCTTTTTTTTTATTAAATATTCGAGTCTTAGATTAGATTAGCGAAACCTGATAAAGTGGTAATATATATATATATCGATAATCAGTCCAGCAGTAAATACAAATTCTTTTGGAAGGATTAAATAACATTTGGTGTACCGTAATCTGCGTTATATTATTGCTGGTTGCCATCACCGGCAGGTTGGAATGCTTTCCTTTCACCAAATTAATAATTTATATTGTTCACATAGAATATTAGTCTTTGAAGTGTATCATCAAGTAACCTTTGTCTGATAGGGTTTCAATAGAAGTATTAATAAAATCCAGCTTTGTTAATTTTTCGACAAGGTTGTTCAGCAATTGTCGTCATCGGTTATTTTAATGACAACCATTCAGTCAGAGAAACTTTCAATTCTTGGCACCATCACGGATCATTCATGACTCGTTAATGAATAGTATTATTTATTTTACTTATTAAATAGAACGTGAATGTCTTATCATTATTTATTATACTGAAAAAACCAAAAATTTTAATCCTTGTATGCCACCCAGATACAGTCACCCGCAAAAGTATCCGACCCCTTTTAATTTGTTATAAACTTTCACCCCATGAAGAATAATACACACGCTGGTTTTATAGTCTTGTAATATTGTCGTGTCAGATCCTACAATTTTTGTAACTTTTCAGAAAATACGAATCAAATGGTATTGGACATCGAGATGTACATTATCTTGTCGATCAATTTTCCATTAAGAATTGATCGCCAAAAAATGAACCGGTCACTTTAGGACGCAATATCTCGACATCCAGAGATCCAATTCGTATAAAAAAAATATAGCCATTCGATTCGTTTTAATTAGACAAATCGAATGGTTGTATTTTTGTACGAATCAGATCGCTAGATATCGTGATATTGCATCCTAAAGTGACCGGTTCATCTTTTTTTTAGCAATCGAAATTGATATTCATTGGTAATCGATTTGCCAACATGATTATCACAGTAAATTTCAACTTGATGGTGTTGATAAATGAATGGATCTCTTTCCAATAAACTTGTTATGAAATTGATCAGTAAAAATAAAATAAAATAAAATAAAATAAAATAAAATAAAATAAAATAAAATAAAATAAAATCAATTTAGCTTACCTTTCTGCCAAGTTAAGGGTCGGATACTTTTGCGGGTGACTGTATGTGTCCAAATTTTGATCGCTATTCACATGTAAAATTTGTTATCGTCGTCGTTCAATGAAACAAGAAGAAGGGCATAACCCGTCAGTTTCTTCAGCTCCTGTTAAGAAATTAGCCCTTTTCGTCTTCTGCATCCCACATCCAATGAATTAAACAAAGACCCAAATGGGACAGATTTTTCTAAGGCTGATGGTCCTGGACAAGTAATCGAAAAAAAAGACTTGACCTGACCTGACCTGACATCATCGAGTATGGAACATATTGTAATACGATGAAGAAGTCGGCACTTTAAGCTTCTACTCAGTGTTTTCTGACTAAAAGTAGAAAGACATCTCTTACTGGCAGATTTGAAAAGGAATATAATGGTATGTAGGAAAATCAAGTTGATTTATCTATAATTGGTTTATTATTCGAGAGCCGTAAAAAGAAATTAAAGAATAACCAGATTCTTTATGGTGTATACTTGGCGCTTTTGATTCTTTGTATTATATTCGGTTGATAAACGTATTTATTTTTAGTTTTTATATTATCGTATAATGACATTCACTTTGCAGCCAAAATCTTGACAATAGGAATATTCTGGTTGTTTAAGTTCTTGGATTTAAAAATGACGATATATTTTTATTTCGATTTTACGGTCGGATATACGCAGAAGACGGAGTGACTATTTTTTATCCTATCATTTGTTGTTATTTTGTCGATGAATATTGGTTCGATTGTTTACTGATTTGTTGATTGAAGATGTATGTACGTATGTATGTATGTAATTTTCTTCGCCTTTTATGGGTCTTTTGAGGAAAGATCTGCGATGACTTTTGAAAACAAGATAATAATAATAAACAAGTTAAACCAAACACACAAATTCATTTATTTTTGTGTGTGCATTGTTGCATGTAACAACGTGAGTGTAAAATACTTAATCTCATTGGTTAATTTTTCATTCTTTTTAAAATAATTAATTTAACGAGAATACCTTCTTTAATTTCTTACACAAAACTAACAAATACAACCTTGCGACACAAATAGACAAATAAATAGAAGTAATAGCAGTAAATAGAATTTCCTCTCTCCGAATCCTGTTCTGATTTATTAAACTAGAAGCAGCATCAAACAACAACGAACCATTTTTCATTTCTCTGATAATAATAATAATCATCATCCCACACAAGATTAACAAACAAATAAATTCATTCACACAAACACACAAACAAACACTGAGCGCGCGAATGTCCCCACTAAATTGATATCAGACATAAAAGGATCTTTCAGACGCTCAGTTATCGAAGAGAGAAAAGGCAGTTTTGTCTATTCGATCAATAGACACCGCTAAGGCAAAAGATACAACAACCCTTAAAGATATTCATACAACATTATTTCTGTTTTCTTTATTTTTCCGCTATTTCATACCACACGTCAATCATTTTTTAGCCTTAACTATTTGTAGATTAATTAATTAATCATATATTTTTCACAACTTCTCTTTTTAGTTTTCTTTGTCTTCATCTCTCTTTTTCCCATCCTTCTTTACTCTCCTTTCTTTTTTTTTTGGGTTTTCTTTTCCCCATTAATTTTTCATCGGCACAGCTTTCATTTTTGGTTTATTGTCAAACACTAAACCTAATTAATCGAAATTATTAATCGTTATTATTTAAGGAAATACAGAATCCACCATTTGTATTTCTTGTCTCAGAGTTAGTTCTGTTTACACATATAACTTTTATCTATTCAATATGAAGTGCTCAAGGATTTCATTGACTAATAATACAGACGAGTTAAATGGGTCTGCATTTGACTATTATGATAGTGTAAGCAATTACTCAACAAATACTGCTATTGTTGTCATGATCATTTATTAAATATGAAAACGCAATTTACAGTTTTCCGAGAAAGTGTCTTTTCTAAAAACCCGCATCGGCATGCTAGACTCTGTAGCGGAAACACATCGTGCACGATACAGCAGATACAATTATCTTTTCGTATTGATTATTACACCGGCATTTATACTGGCACTCGTCGCACCACCGTTATGGCTGTCTTCGTCTAAAGAAACAAGCCAAACAGAAATCACGGCAATAGAATCAACAAATGAACCGAATGACGATTATAATTATTGCTTCAATCCATTCACATGTGTAATGTCTTTGAAAAGTTTGGCCTTGTGGACTATTACATTTATTTTGTTGGTTGGGTTGATGTTGTCTTGGACTATTGTACAGGGAGAGAAGAAGGTATGCGTGTTTTTATTATTTACAGTTATCTAATATGTTATATTTTGGAAGATGACGATCTTATCTTTCGTTAGTTGCGCGAAGCAGTCAAAATCGCATTACAAGCCTTTAACCAGCTTGATAATCGACGACAAATAAATTGGCAATTACTTGAATCTTGCAAGCATTTAGAGATCCAGGAAAACCCTCCACCGGAATTACAGGTAAAAACATGAAACGAAATCAATTTTACAATTTTTTATGTTTTTAAATCCCATTCATATTATTAGGAGATAATTATTCTTGAATCGGGTCGAGTATTCGCAGAAACTTTGGTAATCGGTATCGAAAAACTTTCTGGTGACGCTTCCTCACAACAACCGCTCGCCAATAATAATAATTCTTCAGTAACAAATGCTTTCGCTGAGTTGGCCAATAATAATAACTCTTTAACAACGGATGCTTCCACTGAAAAGGTACTAGGAAATGTTGTATAGTCAAAAAATATAAATATGAATATAAATATAAATATAAATATAAATATAAATGAAACCATTATCGTAATTTAACTTAATTTAATATTTAAAATTAATTTCTAGTATAGTATAATAATATAGTATAATTTAGTTTTCGTTGGTGTGACAAAAAGAATTTTCTTCAAAGAAGAGTAGCAGGGAGTAGAACACAAGTACAGTGCGTGTAAATGAATCATCTGGAGGGAACTAATTTCATTAATTCTTTTTTGAATATGGGGGGTAATGGTATTACGGAACACATAAAGTCATAACATATGATATCACGTATGCTACATTTCAATTTTAATGTTGCTAAAAAATAATGCGAGTCATTCAATTTAGTTTTTAATTTAATCTACATTTTCAACCGTTTGTATTAATTGGCCCAGAAAAATTATGTGAGAATTTTTTCGTTTTCTGATACATACATTAATAAAGTATGATTGTATATATTGTGATTGCATAAAATGAATGCGTAAAGGGTTCATACTAACGCGAACTTGAATTTATAATAAAAAAATTTCATATGTTCATTCTTCAACGTGATGTTCTTCAGTGCCGGTCACTGAACTGGAACGGTCCAGTCCAATGGATCAGGTCTACTGGATTTCAATAACGAAACTATCGCTATGTTTAATGTCCAGTTTACTGTTTTATATTTTAGATGACAAATATATCATCGACACAGTTACTAAATACAATTTTGGCACAAAGCTTTTTCGGTGTTTTCTTCACCATTTCATAAATTCATTGAGCTGATGAACGTTGATTAATTGAAAATGTTTCGTTATTGAATTATCTTATCGCAATTTCTTACAATAGTCCAGCTTTTACTATCCTATATTTGTGATCGCATTAGAATTGCAACGATTTTCGAGAGAGAATCTCGTATGTAGAACGCCACTTCTCACATTTAAAAGGAAAAAATTCAAATTGGTTTTGAATGTCAAAAAATGGATGTTTGATCAAGTTTTATAATAAGACAGCTATTTCAGACATAAATTCAACACAACTCAATAATTTTAGGTGAAAACAATTTTTCGTAGATATTTTACTTTGTAATTAAGATGGATGTATATTTCAAATGGTATCGAGTCTTTTTCCTTATAATATCTCGTACACTCATCTTCTCTTGCAAAATAATTGAATTGAATGTTCAAGACTTCTATTTCTCAAGTACCGTAGCGCACTGCCTCTAGTACCCTGGTTTCGTCGTGTATAAGGAAGGATATTATAGAGGGGTACTAGAGGCAGTAATAGCGATCATCAATTATCGATTACACATATCCATGTCGTCCGTTAATTCATGAAAATCTTTGCGAGTAAATAAGTAGGGGAGATATTTTTTTATTTGAATTTATATATACAGTCATACTTCTGTACAGTCACACCCTTTCTACGATCATACATTTGAAGCATAGGAAATTTGACCTCCATATAGTTACAACCTCTTTTGTTCTGATCCCGAGGGTGTGATTATATGACTGTAATCTACTGATATTAATTATAATTATATATGAAACATGTGAATCGAAAACCAAAAGCTAAATTAAATAATAATAATAATAATATAAAATACATAAATAATAATATGAAATACATAGATAATACATAAATAACAAACATCTGTGAATCTGTTATCTATAGTAATAATAATAAATATTTTTGGTGTGAAAGAATATTAATGATAATAATGTAAATGAAATAATCATAATCATAATAAACATAGAAAATTTCACTCACCCATTCCTTGTAATAATCTATAATATATTTAATTTCACAAGCTACTTGTTTATTTTTTCTAATTATTATTAGGTTCCCTAATAATAATAGTATTGTAATTATTATAGTAGTAGCAGTAGTAACAGTAATAGTAATTATACCTATTTTCTTTTAATAAGTATCATCGCTACCTTTATGTTCGTATTGATTAAGAATACTGTCAGCTGTTGCTCCGAATGCACTAGCCGGATTAAGATTTGGATAATAAATTTTACTATTGTTGTTGCTGTTGCCATTTGACACGAAAGCTATCGAATTGTTATTATTACTGTTGTTGTTACTGTTGTTGCCATTTGACACAAAAGCTATTGGATAAATGATTATTGTTTGATCGAGACTTATTTTGTTAATAATATCTTTTCAATTGGGAGTAAACCACTGATATTAATATACCTTGATATTGTTGTTGATATTGCGAGCGTTGTTGCTGAGGTTGTTGCTGAGATTGTTGTAGTTGCTGAGATTGCTGTAGTTGCTGTTGTTGTTGAATATTTTCTATTATTAGTGATAACGAACGAGAGATTAATGATGATTATGATGAAATGCATATACAGAAAGAATTCCCTAAGCGTACGCTCTATAAATGCACTTTAAATATTTACTCTCTATAATGCACACTCTACATTTCATATCTGGCCCTGGGAGGAGTGCATTTAGGGAATTCTCTCTGTATATTATTAACGATAAAAAAATTAATTATTATTACCCCGCGGTCTTCCTCTTTCGACGCGAAGATTTCCAATCACGCCGTAATTCTGTAATGGCTTTATGGGAAAAAATAATTACATTAATATTAATCAATCAATCAATCAATCAATCAATCACAAATCGCAAATATTACTAGTCCGTGTTTTTTCAATGCACGATTTAGTGCATCGAGACTGTTAAAATCAATATGAGCAAACGATTTAATTGGTGAATGTCGAATGTCTTGGACCTGCATATAATCAATAAAAAATTAGCATTCATCTAATCAATTAATGTATTAATAAAATGTAGTACTTACGTCGTCTTCTGGGAATAAACTACGTAAGACTTGTTGCTGCATTGTCCCATGCCATGATACGAAAGCGGTGAATCCCTTTACAAAAAAAATAAAAGAAAAATATTAAATTTTTCCAAAATGGCAGTGTTGATGCCACCAAATTTCATTTGCATTTGACCGCAGCCAATAAATTTTGGCCGTCTGGCCAAACCCGACTAAATGGCCAAGTGGCAACACTGATTTAGATGGTAATAAAAAATAATTAAAACTTACTCTTCGTTTTGTATTGTTGTTGTTATTCATAGCAATGTGAATGACCCTAAAATGATTACCATACTCCGAACAATATAAATAGGTCAGATATTACTATATTAGGAAATTGAATCAAAACAAGGGTATGCTTATTTGTGCATGTAATACAAACCCAAAAATGTATATATATATAACCTTGTTCTCGCTCTAACCCTAACCCTAACCCTAGCTTGTAATATTTATAATTGTATAAATGTATTTGTCATGTGTTTTTTATTACATGCAAAAATAAGTAAATCCTCAAAACAATCCTAAATTTAAAAAGTAAGTTCTGAAAAACTATCTTGATCAATTAAACTTTATTATAAAAGAACAATTTATATTACTATTTTTTAAGATTAAAATTGATGCAAAATTATAAACTCACAATTTGATAATTAGTATTATAATATATTTTACCATTCATATTTTTATTGAACAATATATTTATTGATTATCTTATATTTATTATTTTATTGGTTTAAATATTTATTTTATTACTTAATTTTAATATTTTGATACTTTAGTATTTTAACATTTTGATATTTTAATATTTTTGATATTTTAATATTTTGATATTTTAATATTTTAACATTTTAATATTTAAATATATTAAGAATAAAATATATTTTTTTGTGAAAACATATAACTATACATAATTAATTATAAAAAATCACACGAATTTGCATATTTAATTATAAAAGCTTACATAACTAGTAGTAAACAAAAAAATATATTTTATCCTTGAAAATAAAATATATAATATTATTAAATTATAGAGTTTCTATGCAAGAATTAATCAAATTGCTCAATTTTTAAAAATTAAAAAATTTGATTAATTCTTGAACAAAACTCTATAATTTAATGATATTATTCTTAATATTTTAATATTTTTGTAATTAATATTATAAATATTTTAATATTTTTGTAATTAATATTATAGATATTTTAATATTTTTTAATTATTAATTTTGTATAAAAGCAATACTTTATTTTGTGAATAGTATTATCATATTATTACTTAATAATAGAAGTTACTGAATAAATTATATTAAATTTATAAAATTATTAAGTTTAATAATTCAATAATATAGTAATATTATATTAAACTATTTTCAGTATAATTCAATTGATAATATTATTTATAAATAAAAAATAAAATTAAGATTTTTAACTTTAAATAATTTTAGTTTTGAAATAATTTTGTTATTACTTATATAATCTATTATAAAGCATTAATAAAGTTAATAATAATAAAAAATAGAATAATAAAAAATATTATTAATAAAGTTTTTTTGAATTTATAAATTTTATTATTTTAATTAAAAACTTAATTTAAAATTAAATTCTCAAAGATTTTTTATTAAAAGATTTTTTACTATATAAATATTAATTAAAAAATCAAAATATTGTTATAATATGAATATTTAGTTCTTATTTTATTGGTTAATTCATATCATAAATTTAATTGAATAATATTTTATTGATTAATTTCATATTTATATTTTATTGGATAGTTATTTTTAGATAGTTATTATTTTATTGGTCAATTATATATTAAATATTATTGGTTCTTAGATTTGTTAATTGATCTATATAATCAAATTTGATTGATATTAATTGGGAAATTTATGTAATATTAAAGTGAGCGAGTGATGTATAACCAAAAAGCAAAGTACTTTTTGTAACCTTAATATCAATCAAAAATAACTTTAATATTTGAAAAATTGAGTAACAATAACTTATATAAATATAGCTTGTATCTTAGCTTAAATTAATAGTATAGCTTAGCTAGCTTAGCTCTCAAGCTCAATAGCTCTCAGGATCTCAAGAATAATAAATAATAATTAAAAACATGTAATAAATTAATGATAAATTTGTCTAATAAT